GCCCCCGCCGCCGCCACCGCGCCGCCGCCAGGCCCAGCCGCCGCCCCGCCCCCCCGCCGCCGCTGCTTGAGCCTCTCTACGACGTCCACCGGCAGCGCGTAGGTCGGGTCTATTGGGGCCAGCCCTTCGTGGCCCATGAGGGCCAGGCCGGCGATGCCGAAGAAAGTGTGGTACACGTCTGCCATGTCGTCAGCGCGGTCACTGATGCCGCCGTCCTCCTCGTCCTGTAGCACGCAATATGGTGTGACGAGTGCGGGCGCATCTGGGGGCCGACTACGCGGGTGAAAGTGCCGTGAGGAGGCATCCCCCCTCACGATCCAGTGCTGCACGGCAGATCACGCCGCCATGCTGCTGTCCGTCCTCCTATGACGCCCCTTGGCAGCTGTCGCCTTCGACCAGCTTGGTGATGATCAGTTCCTACAGCTGACCGCTCAAACGATCCGTAGCGAGGCCCTCACCAGCCAGACACACCCTCCAGGCCCCAGGCCTCACCTGGCACCACAGGATGAACCGCGTGAGCTCTCCCTGGTCGATCCAGCCGAGCCGCCCCAGGATGGCCAAGCAGCTGAGGCACCACCACGAGTAGCAGACATCCTGCAGCTTCTCGGGCCGCCCGTTCAGGCCGCCGCCGCGCGTCTGGCGCTCGGCCAGCCACCAGCTCACGAGGTCGGTGTCGCAGCGGTCGAGGGCGCCGGCCAGGGAGAGGGCGCCGATGCAGGTGAAGACCTGGCCGGCGTGGGACTCGTTGCCTGGTAAGAAGAAGAGGAAAGTTTGAGCGGATTCACAGAACTCGTGCCAAACATGAGGGCAGGCGCGTGCCCATTGGCCGCCGCAGCGGCAAAGTGGGTTCGTGTCTGCTGCTCAGCCGCGTCAGGGCAGCACAGCACTCTGACCCACATTGTGGCGTTTGCTCGACCCTGCCGCTCACCTGGCGTGCAGCCAAAGCCGCCGTCAAAGTTTTTGCAGGCCAGAACAAAGTCCACCGCGTTCCCCAAGTTGACCGCCTCCGTCCGCCCCATGATGCTGCAAGTCAGGAGCGCAGCGTATGAGAAGCGCGTATCCACCTCGCCCCACTCGTCACCCACAAAGGAGCCGTCTGCCTGCTGCAAGCCCGCCACATCTGGTGATGGGGCATGTGAGTTGAATTTCAGTGTGTGAGGCGGTTGAGTTGGGTTTCTGTGTCGGATTTGAAAAACACAATGTATCATGTGCACCGACGGCCTGACGTTGGGAGCCCTGTGGTTGCCCGCACATACCATGTGCCCGCCATGCTTCCAAGCCCTGGGTTTTCCCTGCCACGAGTGCATTGCCAGCTGGGGCCGTCAAATGACCGGCACGCTTGTCGGCATGTAAGCTGGGGCAACCCCTTTCAAGACCGCCCCCCTCACATGCGGCCACCTCGTCAGCGTTGATGAGGTCCAGCTTGTCCAGCAGGGCTAGAATCTGCATGCCGTTGGGTGTACATGTGGGTGCGCTGCATCAGCACATGCAAGCTTGTCGGCATAGCTCGGGGGCAGGCGCAGCGGATGAGGGAGATTGGGGGAGGGGTAAACGCAGGCATGAGTTTGCATGCCTGCGCATATGCGTGTGGGTGCGCAAATTCTTGAACTGACGCCAAATCGGGCTTGCAGACACGGTGAATCTCAGACAGGTGCCTCCAGGGGCTTGCAGACACGGTGAATCTCACACCCATCAACTGCCCCGGCAGCTGTTTGGCCCTGCGCCGCTTCATACGAGGCCCCCACAACCCCAGCGTTACCTGCACCGCGCTCAATGTATACAGCAGGTGTGCGTCGTTCCGCGGGCTGGCACCGAAACCGCCGCCCTGCTTCTGGCAGGTGAGCACCCACTGGGCGACCGCGTCTGTATCCATCTCCTCCAGGCGCCCAAGCAGCGCCATGGCAGTCAGCCCCCAGTACATGCCGCTCATCCAGAAGTGCTCAGTGGCAACTGCCTCGATGCGGTCTGACGACTGCGCGCGCCAGTCCCAACGGGAAAGGAGCTCGTGGGTGTATTATGCAGAGGGGTGGGGCATGCGAAACAGTGTGTGCCGTGTTACCTGGACACCCCCTGCCAGTGCCCTGGCAGGTCAGCGCATCCAGCGTGCCGTTTCTGCAGCAACAGGCTGCTTGAGCAGCAACATGAGGCCGTACCTCCCAAATCCGCGCAAACCCCTTGATGTAGGCCGCATGCTTGTCGACCAGCAGCTCGGCGCGCGGGCCCAGGTCCAGCGGGGTGAGCGCATTCATGCTCCCGGCGGCGATCGGCACGACGCAGGCTTGCAGCGCTGGATGCTGACAGGTTCTAAAGAGGTTCTTCTCATACAGTAAAGCTGGCTCCTGCACAGGACCTACTCGATGATCACCGAGATCAGCTACAGGTGTGACTGTGCAGTATGAAACTATGTGATGCTACTTTGCATATGAGCAATCGTCACTTCACAATTTTACAAGCGCGACCTCGTTGTCGACGCTGCCCACATCACCAGGCACCTGTGTGCGAGCTACGTCACTCCAGGCCGCTTTCTCCCACAATACTTTATCACTGGCAGTCAATCTACAACTCTGCCTGCATGCGCTGCTCAGCGGCTAGCTAGCTAGCTGTGGCACTGACACCCGCAGCAGTGAGGTGCCGCACGTGCTGCTTGTGCCGCGCTCATGGCGGCGGCAGCGGCGCCGCAGCAGCAACAGCAGCAGCCACCGCAACAGAACATGGATGATGATGCCTGGGGCCCTGCGGACGATGCCCATGCGGGCTCAGCGCGCGCTGCAGGCAGCGCAGGGCGGGCCAGCCCCGGCAGCGGAGTGCGGGACCCTAGGGACCCCAGCCAAAGCAACTGCCCCGCCCCACGTGCAAGCGTTCAAGAGGTATTGCGCCTGAAGCCCCTGCTGGACCTGAGACTGTCACCCGCTGCCGCGGCCAGCAGCAGCGGCAGCACAGCTTCGGGCATGGCCCGACGCGCAGAGCGCAGCTGCGTCCCGTCGCTCCAATCGCTCGCACTCGGCGTCGTCGCGCGCCACGTATCGGAGCTTGCCGCGGCCCTCAGCCCCGACGGCTGCGGCTGGTTGCCAGCAGAGGCCAAGGCGTCGCTGCTGGCTGCGGCGCGGCGGCGGCGGGAGCTGTCGGACTCGGTGCTGCTCGCGCTCGCCGACCCAGCACACACGAGCCTGGACGTGAGCGGCAGCCGCGTCGGCGGCGCCGCGCTGCTGCGCGCCGCGGAGCGCATGCCGCTGCTGCGGGCGCTCGATGTCACCGGCTGTGAGCGCGTGTCAGCGGGGTGCCTGCGGAAGCTGCCGGCCGCAGCGCCGCGGCTGGCGCTCCTGCGCCTTGGCGGCGGTGGCGCCGCTGGCGAGGCTGCGGCTAAGGCGCTGCCGAAAGTTGTGCCAGCGATAGCTCCAGAGGTGGCCGGGGAGGAGGAGGGCTTTGCCGGAGGCCGCGGGCAACCAGGGGTCAGCCACGCCAATCGAGCAGCACAGCCATTGGCGGCGCTCGCGATCGCACCCACATCAACAGCAGGGCATTTTGAGTCTAAAGCGGGGGCAGCAGTCGTCGCAGCAGCGGATAGCTGGGAGGATCTCGCAGGCTCTGGCGACAATGGCGGCAGCGGCAGCGGCGACGGCGGCGGCGCAAGTCTAGTCGGTGGCACCCCTTCCAGAACAGCAGCGGTCCCACCCTCTCTGGTGGCAAGCAGCAGCGGCAACGGGCGGTTATGGGAGCTGCGGGTGGTGGTGTGGCCAGACTGCCCCAGGCAAACACGGGAGGCTTTGCAGTTGCTTTGCCCGCGGGTCGTGCTCAACCCGCCAACGCTCAGGCCCGGCGCTCTGCTTGGGGACCTGCCGCGGGAGCTGGACCCTGGAATCCCGCTGGATGCGGCTGCGTTCGACGTGGTGGGGCCGGCCGCTCTCGAGGTGCGTAGCTTGCTGACTGACAGGTGCAATGGCGGCAACTGCAACCTGGGGTGTCGGTCAACCCCGTTTGGTGGCGGGCAACACAGCCGCTTTTGCTCTGCTGTCCTAGCCTGGTGTGTGCCGTGCAAAAGCAGTGTTGTGCAGCGCTTTGGCATGATGTTGTGCATCATGCGCCTCACAGCACGAGGCCCCCAACAGACGGAATGCTGAATTCCCGCACTGTTTCAACGTGCATCGCCCCATCATCAGGACATCAATGCCGCCGATGAAGCGCGCCGTGCCGAGCAGTCCGGCCCCAGCGTGGCTGATCGTTTCCGTCAGGCCTACATCGACCGTGAAGAGCGGCGGCGCCAACGCGTGGCGAGGCTTGCCTGGCTGGAGCAGCGGCGCGCTTCACGCGATAAGTTTCGCAGCAGCGGCGGCGCGAGGGCGCTCAGCGGCTGGCTAGACGCGCTGTAACCACACTTCATTCAACGAGCGTCGTGATGTCAACCTGTTCATCATGCAGTGCGACAGGCCTTGGCGATGTCACACCGGATGTCAGTATGGGTGCAGCCCTCAAATGAATCTGATCAAAGCCCATACGTGTATATACTAACAGACATGTAACATATAGCTCTTGTAATTGTATGTTGGAGGACAGTGTTCACTGTCAGGCTAGTGAGATCACTACTTGCTGCATGTGCTAGAATAATAAGGCCACCTCCTGGACGGGAACCTGAGATACCATGGCTCCAGCTGGGGGTGCTGGCGGCAGCAGCGGCAAGGGCGGCGGCGACCACATCTCGGTTGTCGCGTCTGGCTTTCTGCGCCTGATGGGTGCGCAGCCCAAGCTGTGTGTACAGCAGGGGGTTATGTGTGATGCCCTTCACGTCAGTGATCTGATGTTCAGAAGGGTTTGGTGCCCTGTGAGTTATCCAGCCCTGGCAGCAGCTCAAGCAGCCACCAAAGTTGTGTCCGTCCTCGTTGACCGCCATACGCTGCAGCCTCGCAGCTGGCGGCGCGCGCCGTCACGTTTGGCATGAACCTGATGATCGCACGACACCTCTCGCCTGAGGCCTATGGGGTGGGCAAGCAACCTCGCACAGCGCGTACCGCACGGCGCTTGCTGCGTTGGCCACCTGCCCCATGCGTGCCATCAACCTGGCCTGCATGACAGCTGTGGCGCCATCACGCGCTGTCCATGACGCAGCATGGGGGCCTAGCCGCGAACTGCTGGAAAGCACCTGAAAGTCACCTTGAAACCCCCTGATGTCCTCATCCCTCGCCAAGTAGGAAAGCCTCCCAACCTCACGTTCTTACCATCATTCAAATCCGCCGCAGCTGTCGGCCGTCCAGTTCTACCTGATAACCACAACCATCCTGCTGCTCAGCCGCGAGGGCTTCCGCCGCGGCTGCATGCGCGTCAGAGACGCCAAGCCGGGGCAGGCAGGTTGCTCTTCAGGGCGTGGCGGTGCATGGCTCCCTATGGCTGCCCAAGCTGGTTTTGCCACGTTTTGTGAGCCTGAGCCTCAATTGCATCAGCCGCCAGCCCTTCTCACCGCCTCGCAAGTTTGGTGACTGCCCTGAGATTTCAGCAATGACCGGTTGTGTGCAAATGCATAATCCCCCCAGGTTGCTTCAGCGGCGGCCGTGTCAATCACTGACCGCGTGCTGGCTGTCTCTTGGCTCGCCATCCCTGTTGGCGCGGCCGTGGCAGCGGCCGTGACCGCGGGTGTGCTGTGGCGAAGCCCAGATGCGGACGATGCATACAAGCAGGCGGTCGTGTTGCATGGTGAGAAGCGCTGTCGGGCGGATTCAGGGCAGCTCCATGGACCTAACCTGGCTCCGGCGGGTTAGCGACCGTTGACCTGGTCAAGATCGGCTGTGGCAACAGACCAGCTCGTTTGTGCTGTTCGAAGCTTGCATATCCAGGCTGCATTCTGCTCCATCCATCATGCCGGCAGGCGTGGCGGCCGTGGTGGAGCTTCTGGCAGAGCCTTTCTACATTATAGCTTCCACCCAGCTGCGCTTCGGCCTCCGCGCGGGCATCGACACCGCGGCCATGATGCTGCGGGGCGCGGTGACGCTGGCGCTGCTGCTGCAGACGCGGATGTCGCCTGCAGCTGTGTTCTCTGCAGCGCAGCTCGCGTTTGCTGGGACCTATTTCTTGGGGTACCTGGCATTCGCAGCCGCCCTGTATACACAGGTGAGGGGAATCGGTGGTCTTGAATCAAGGAAGCTGGCAGCAGTGCAGCTGGGCTGACTTGGCGCTGCCTTGTATTGCGCACAGCCCGCGGTCACCAGACCCTCAGGGTTTTGAGGGCAGTGACGAGTCCCTCACATACTGCGCGCGCCCTGGCCGCTGCAACGCCTGCAGGGCCAGCTGCGGCCGCAGCTGCGGCGGTGGGATGGAGAGGACTGGCAGACCTTCTGGCTGTCGGGCGTGTTTGCTATCCAGTCGGTATGCCGGGCTTGGCGACTCGTTCTCAAACAACATCGGGCCCCCGTCCGCGGCGCTGCTTTCACGCCCCTGGGCAATCCATTCGTGCCGTCTCTTGTCACCCTCTCTCTATGGTCCACTCTTTGAGTACCTGTGCCCCCTTCAAGCGCCTGCAGTCACATGCGTGTGTGTATGCATGCCCGAATCACATGCGTGCCCTTGCGTGCGTGCGCACATGACAACGCTTGTGCACATCGCAGGCTGAGAAGCTCGTGCTGGCGGAGGGCAGCAAGCTGGCCCTGGTGGCGGTGGAGAGCGGCTACAACCAGGGGGTGTACGGCCTGGTGGCAAACCTGGGCAGCCTCGTCGTGCGGCTGCTGCTGCAGCCGTTTGAGGAGGTGGCCTTCACGGCGTTCTCCAGGTGCTGAGCGCGGAGCGCCAGGGCGGCCGGGGCATGGACGTGGGCGTCAGGTTCTGCCCTGTCGGGCTGAAGCGGATGCGCTTGCGCTGTTTTGGCGTCGGCCTAAATACACACCTTGCAATTGCACTCTGTTGTGGGCTCTTTCAATCCAAAACATTCTCACATGAGCTCTACAACTCCACAAGCGTGTAGCCAACCCATGCAGCAGCCTGAGTGCTGCCAGCTGACTCAGCATCCCACTGCTCCCACCACCCGCTGGCGCCGCGCAGGGCCGGCGCCGCAGCTGCATCCGACCCGTCGGAGCGCACGCGGCTGGGCGGCGTGCTGTCGCTGATGGTCCGGGGCGTAACACTGGTGGGGCTGCTGGCGGCCGCGTTTGGGCCCTGGTACGCCTACACGCTGCTGCGGCTGGTTTATGGCACCAGGTGCGAGAAATGAGCAAGATAACGCTGTATTTGGCTGCATATTGATGTCATATTGCAGTGGATCCTGCAGAAAAGAGACGCTACAAACATGCGCGGCATCTGGTCGTTGAGGACTCGTTACGGAGCTGGGACGATGGCGCTGCTAATCCGCCTTGCCGGCTCTCCCAGGTGGAGTGAGACCGAGGCGCCTGCAGTGCTGGCGTGGTATAGCGCGTACGTGCTGCTGCTCGCGGTCAACGGTGGGCGCGGGTGTGGTCAATCGCGGGACACGTGCTCACGTGACGCGCCTTTGCTCGCTGACGCTGCTGTGCACGCCTGCGCAATTGCACATGTTTGATGGCGCCCTGCACAGTTGATCACGCATGCCTTTTTGTACACAAGCGGTTCATTTGCGTACACGCACATACCAGCCTGCACAATCATTTGCACACGCATGCGTTCACATACACAGGGATCACCGAGTCGTTTGTCCATGCGGTGCTGGACTCCCGAGCCCTTAGTCAGGCCAACGCAGCCCTGCTGTTCCTGGGCGCAACCCACGTGGCCGCCAGCCTCGCGCTGGTGCGCGCAGCGGGGGCTGTGGGCCTGGTGGCCGCCGACAGCCTCAACATGGCGCTGCGTATTGCATACTCACTCTGGTGAGTGCTCGACGCCGCTTAAGGCTTCCATCGTGGTGCATTGTTGCGTCATGGTGCATTTCTTACACAACACTGTCTGTGTCTGGCTCCTGGCATACTGTTGATGCAGCCTCTTGTTCTTCGTTGTTGCATCGTTGCATCCTCACATCTAACGTGACTGAAACGACCATAAATCCATTGGCAGGTTGATACGGCACTACTTCCGTGGCGCCTCCGGCTTCTCACTGGGCCAGCTGCTGCCCAGCAGAGGCACGCTCGCCGCCTACGCCGCGGCGTCCGCAGCCGCGGCCGCCTCGGAGCGCGCGCTCCTCAGCGCCGGCCGCGGGCCATTCATGCAGCAGGCGGCAGCGCACGTTGCCGCGGGCGTCACGGCGGTGGGGGCGGTGGCGGCTTCGGCGTGGCGGTTTGAGCGGGGGACGGTGGCGCAGATAGCACAGCTGAGGCGCTCACGAGGATCGCCGCCCGCGGGGGGCGGCGACAGCAACAACGATCCACATGCACAGAAGCCCAAAAACCAGTAGTAACAATAGCATTACACCCAGCTGAAAGTTGCCAGTCACTAGGAATGATGTGGTTCCAGGCCAGGCACAGTTGGTGTGCCGTTGCTTTCTTGATTGTCATCATTCTTGGAACACTCTTGACGGTGATCAATGCGCCCCAGCAAGGGGGGGCCTGCTAGAAACAGCATTGCTGCGGATGGCAAGAGCAGCTGGGTGTTGCAGCCAGCGCGCTGACACCACAGGTACCAATGCGGCAACACCTGCCAGGAACGAGTGAGGCAAGAGGAGGGTTGCTGTCTGCAAAATCACGCCGGTGGTTGGCTCACTAGCCATAATCACCCTTCTTTAGTGAGCATGTCCATTTTTTTCCAATGAAGTTGAGGGCAAGAGAAGGGGTCTTCCATGGGGGATGCTTCGTTGACGCAAAGGGAGTCAGGAAGCAGTTTGTGAAGCCGGCTGAGCAGCACCGACAGTTGAATGTTTGCAGCAACAGGCACTGTGTGCGAACGCCCAGCTGTGCACGGGCACAACTGAACCAAATCAAGAGGAAGCCCATTGATCTTGGCCGTTTTGATAGCTGCGCTGGGCGATAAGGACTCCAGGGAGGAGGCATCCGCGTTTTGCCTGTCGACCCACATCAGCCTGTGGGCGCCATCACGCAAGCGCCACCACAGCCTGCGGCAGCTCGAGCCCCTCCTTTGCGGCCGCAGCCGCGGCGCTGCCCCGCGGGATGATGTCCACCAAAACCTCCTGCACCGCCATCCCGGCAGCATCAGCAGCGCTGGGGCTCTCAGAAGGCCCATCAACTGCCGCGGCGGCCGGCTCGGTGGCCGCGGGCGCCCTGCGTCCGGACGCGCGGCGCTCTTCAATCAGCGCCCAGGCAGCTTCGACGGGCTTGGGCTCGCCGGAGCCGCCCATGCTGGGGGGCAGGATCTGAGGGGCACGAATGCGGTTGTGGCAGAGCAGCAATCACGTGAGCTCAGGCGAGCTGCTGGGTGCTGGTCCCAAACCAATCTCTTGTGGGAGGTGGGTCATCAGGCATGGCAGCCAAGCAAATGCCCGTCCCTGGCAATGCACGCAGCCCTGGCAGCCTGCACTTGACTGCAGTGGGCTAGGGGTCTCCTTTTACTACAATAATCCATTGTTAACGCCCTGCACGCAGCTCAACAGCAGTTTGAATGGCACCCCTCACTTTGGGGTCAATCTGCTTCGCCAGGATGGCCGCCGCTGCTGCTGGGTCATCCGGCAAAAACATGATCTTGCTGCGCGTCACGGGGTCTGGGGTTTGGGGTTCATCAGGGGGGAACCACCAGATGCAGGGCGACAGTGTGGTCAGGCGATGCATTGGACTTTTTGTTCCGTACGGTGGTAGGTGCTGAGGCATGCACAATTGCAGGCGATTGCACATGCGTGTGCCCCGCCACCAAGGTGGCAGGCATCTGCAGTGCCGTTGAGTGGTGCAAGAACTGCATACATTGAGACCAGGTCTGACGGCCACACAGAAGCCGGTTTGTGTGCGTCTTCTTGCCAGCAGGCCTGAGCTCTCAAATTCCGCGGGCCGGCAGTGTGTGCCGTGTCAGCCCCTACTCACGGATGAAAGGGCTGACCAGTTTGTACAGCTGCTTCACCACCACGGCAGCATTGTGAATGTACAGCACCGACAGCCTCTCCACATAGTGCGCCTGTGCAAGTAGCGCAGGGCGGCAGGGATGCGTGGCGGCGAGGAGCATGCGATGAGCGACAGCCGTGCCGGGCGCACAAGCACTGCTCGTCTGGTCGCAAACTCTTGCCTTATGCAGACGGGCAGTTGCACCGCGCTGCAACACCGCGTCTGGACACCCCAAAACAGTCTTTGGTCGGCAGATTTGAGTATACTGAGACTCTTCCAGGCGCCGGCCCCACCCTGATCATGTCGAACATGGTCATGGCGGCCCCCACGTCAAAGTTCCTCCAGCGGTAGTTGCTGACGTCTGGCGGCAAGGGTTGAGGCGGCATTGCTCAGGAGGCGGTCTGATGGAGCGCCGCGATGGAATCCCGCTTGCTGGAAGTCAGTCTTTTCCGGCCAGCCTGCTCATGACCATCCTCCGCCAATGTCGGTGAGGGAGCCCTGCCTGCAGCACCGTTGCCAGGCATTATCAGCCAAGTGCTGGCGCATGCGAGTCATTCGAGCGCCGGCCGCCTACCCAGGATGTACACGACCTGGCCGTTGGGGTTGAGCACAGGGTCTGCCAGCTCAATGGCGGCGTCAGTCGTGTAGCAGAAGAACCGCTGCACCTCAGTCTGGTCGGGCCTGTTCGGGACGACAAGGCGCGGGCGGGGGG